ATAACAAGGGGAGATAATTAATGTATAAGAAAATAATAAAATAAAATATAAAATGATACAAATAACAATATAGAGTTACCTTACAATTCAGTTTATTATCATTATATTAAGAGTAGGTACGTAACTCTCTCCTAACATCTTTATATTTTCACTTTACTTTCCTTCTAGACAAATGACAAGAAGGGTGCCGAAAGTTGAATGATTTATGGACCTAATGAAAGAGATGTCATACACAAGAACTGTTTGACAGAGATGTAATCGTTTCTAGATCTATAAAACGTGCTACCAACATAAAATCATAAATTTTACAACTAGAATCCAAATTAAACTTCAAAATAACAATATTAACAAATAATAGTAAAATCAGTCTGGTTTCAAGTTGAACTCTACTCTGTTTGTTGGTCTAATTGTTACAGTAATACCCCTTTTAATTATTTCAAAATCAAACTGTCACAAGTAAATAATAAGTGATATTCAGAATTAAACATAACGTTAACAAATTAAACAACTACAGAGTGTCAACAAAATACAGAAATTTCATAAACAATACGAAAGAATGAAAAAGTTAATAAAATAATTAGTTTAAGAAAGTAGAATTGAGTTTTATCCTGGAGTTTTAGCTGGTTTAATCTGTTTCTAGCTTTATAAAGTCAATCTGAGTGGAGTTCGTAATAACTTTATCTTTAGAAAGCTGAAAACTTACCAAACTGAACTAAAATCTCATATTACAATATTTTACTCTGTTTTCTCCAGTGGATGATTTTCTTCTCTAAACATCTGGATGATCATATATCACACAATTTGCTATAGAGATTAAATAGCACGAAAAACACTGGATAATCTGCTCTATTCACAAAAATTCACGAAAAATATATCACTCAATCTCCAAATATTTTGTTCACAAACATTTTGTTTCTACTGGATAATGTTTCTAACAAGTGCTTTGTCCAATCAACAAATAGTTTATCCACACAGGAAGTAGACTTGATTAATGAGGCCCCATAAACATAATACAATTATAATACAGTAGAGAATCAAGCCCAGTGCACACTAGCTGAATGACAGGAGAATAGAACAGTAAATACAAATATTGATAATATTTTAAGATCAGTTCCTTGGTGTATAGTACTGATGATTTTAAACAATCTGATTGGTCAATATCAGTAGCTCTAACAAACCCTCAAATCTGATTGGTTAAATACAAAATACTGACCAATCAGAGATCAGATTAAAGAAATTTACATTGAAAAGTTAGCAGAAAGAAAGTAATAAAGTCAGGTATTATTTGAAAGAGATCTTGTATTTAACATTCTACAATCTAGTCACTATCACAACCAGTGTATCTAAGGCTAGAAAACAACTCTAACATCCAGTACAGTGTTACGAATCTTCTGGTGATTTTAATTCCTTTATTTGTTTTATTAAGTATGCCTTCTCATCGTTAAATTGTTCATCCTCCGAGCGATCTGTGTGAAACTTTGATAAAAAGTCTACTAGTTTCTCCTTATTGCGTAATAATATTTCTAAAATAGGGCGTGGCTTATTGGGATTCGCAACAAATACCTGGAAAACAGAAGGGGGATTACATGATAACATGTTTGATAAAGAAAAACAATTTCACACGAAAACTATGAAATATAAATTGATTAAAAAACATATATAATATCAATATAAACTCTTGATATTCTTTATAACAAACAAGTGCACAAGAGTAGACAAATTCTCTTTCTTTTACTACATTGACTTAGTTAGATCAGGTGGGTATTATCTTTCACCTGACCAGGTTAACTGAGTAAAGGTTATGAATATATATTGAGAAACAGGGGCTAGGATACTAATATTATAACTTAAAAGAGTTTTACCTTAAATACATGGAAGGCTTCAAATTGAATATTACGACTTTTCTCTCGTAACATGTTCATCATTAATTTCAGGTTGTCAGGGTTACTAATATATCTGGTCATTGTGGTGAAATTATGTCTATCTAATAACAACTCTCCTAGTAACTACAATATACAATATATTATATTAATCAAGGGCAGTAATTCTTGCTGATATATCTGTGATACTATCAGTATAGAATTTACACTAAGAACTCCTGAGCCTAGATTTTAATTTTGCTCGTACTTTGTTGGTCAAGAATTTTCAAGTTCTTCTCCATTTCCAAACTATTGTAAAATCATGTAAAACTATTGTAAAATCATGTAAAACTATTGTAAAATTTTGTAAAACTATGTGACCTACCTTTAAAGCCTGTCTTCGTGTGACGTAATTCTCAGAATTTAACAAACTTTGATAATGACCGAAAACACGATCGTAATTCGCCTCCAGAAACTCAGCTGATAACAATTTATGTTTGGTTAGGAGTTCCTACAGATATAAAATACCACAATTACTAAATCAGAATACCACAATTACTAAATCAGAATACCACAATTACTAAATCAGAATACCACAATTACTAAATCAGAATACCACAAAAAACTAGTTATAAATACTCAGCAGATTTTGTCCTATTATAGATCACGTCCAGTCCTATATCAACAGTAATTCAAACACGGAACTAATCTTAAAAACAAACCTTGAAAGTAGAGAAAGCATCTGAAGCTATATCAAAGGTAGAAAACTCGACATATTTAAAGAAATCGTAGAATTCTTCACAGTTTAACATAAGTTTAGCCAGAGCTTCATAACGAGCACATTCTCTTAACATCATACCACAATTCAATGCTACATCAGGTGTTTCATACCTGAAATATATAATTTATATACCTTGATGTCTAGAGTTCATCTCATACTACTGATATACAATCCTCATCAGGACAACTACACCACCACCCCCCCTCCCCCCCAACCCCTGTACTTACCCTTTCATTAAAGCTTTCAACATCTCTTCCCTGGTACAGATATATTCTACGGTAGGGGATCTGGTTCCCAGTTGTCTTCGTAATAAATTGTTAAATATCTGAACCACATCTTTACGGCCCTGTAAAAATAAATATCTCATCACATCAAAGACTAGATTTCTGAATGATGAAAACCTCTCATGGAACAAATCAAACATCAACACAAAAAGTCTAATATAAAAATATTTACCTCAAAATCAATCTCTTTTAAATTAACAACCATAGAGATGAGGACATCAGCATTATATATCTCCATCGAGAGCTGAGCTACGTTTTCTGGTAATGGATCTGATCCAGAACCTCCATATAATACAGTCTTCATACTGGAGAGAATCTTAGACACATCTTCAGATGCCTATAATAGATATATTATACAATAGTAGAACAAGAAATATAATATACAGATCTTTAACTCTTCCTTAACTCTATATTAAATATTAATTTTTTATCACGTTGAATTGTTGACTGAAGATCTTTGGCCTTTTGTTTGTATGTAAACTCCAATAGACTATTCTCAGGAAAGTAAAAACTATTAACATTCATTACTGATTACTAGTTACCTTCTTCAAGTCTTTATCTCCCTTGTTCTGTTGTTGTAAAATTTGTAAAGCATCTTTCAGAGATTTCACCAACTCCTGGGGGCTCTTCTGAGATTTACCAAAGAGAGGCATACTAGAGCTGATCTAGTGTCTAGACAGACAAATTCTGTGGGCTGGGATAGTGAGTAGTTTCAACTGAAATGAAATGGATATTTATATAAACTTATTTTACAGTAGCTTATTTGATTAAAACCTGAAATAATTTAGTCAGAACACAGAAACTACCTGGTTCAAATCAGGGCAGACTAACATAGACATAATCAATGCAGATAAATAGAAATTTGAAAACCAATGAGAAAAGACTTTTGTAGCCAATGAAGATCACAACTGAGACATTGTATATATTCTCACTGAGAGTCTGAGGCACTCAGCCTGCTGTAGTAGTAGGTATAATCAAACAGCCAATGACTCAGTAAGCTTACATGTTTTAATGTCTATTATAGGACTGTAGTCTATAGTCCCTGTCATTACCAATATCTTAGTTAACTTAATACATATATCACAGTGTAGTATGATGTTGACAGGTTGCTGACAAACTGAATGAATGACATGATAAAAATTAACTTGAACCGACTGACACGACACAATCTGAGTCTCCACAAATACAAGAATTTTTTTACCAGCTTGACAACAATAAACCGTACAGTGGGTGTAAACGATTCATGTGTTACGACTTAAGATGAAATGGGTTCAAGTTAAATGTAATAATGATAGACACAATATGTTCTGGTTAAAACTAAGTGAAAATAACGTGTTTCCGGGCCATACAATTGTCAAACCGTACTCATGCATAGAAAAAATGGCCGTCTGGCTTTGCACTTTTCTTCCCTGTCGAAGGAATTAGGGCAATTAATAAATCGATCAAATGACGACACAGGCTGAATTTAATATCTATTAGACAGAATTGGTCCTTAGAAACATGATTTATCACACAAATAGTCATTTTACAAGGTTAATTCAATAAAAACTCACTAATTTTCAGTACATCCACCACCCAAAAACTTCTTTACGTGACGTCAGAAATAAGCCACTGCGCAGGTCCGGAAATAGTTACACGATGAAATCATGTGATCACGTCACGAATGTAAATAAA